CCCGTGTACGTCGTAAGCCACGGGTCCACAACGTCCCGGCCACGGTGCACCTACATATATGCAACCGTTCATCTCGCAAAGACAAGGGCAAAGAGGACGTACGCGGGCAAGGCGGCTCGTTTTTTGATTGCTCACGACTGAGACGACGGCCTCGGTCTGGGCCGCGATCGCGTTCTGGACCGTGTCCTGGCACGCCGCCTGGCCGACTGCAATGATGTTTTCAAAGTCCTCGGGCGACAGCGGCGGGCACCGAAAGTGGTTGAGCGGCAGTGGCAGCGATGACATGGTTGCAGGTGCAAACTCGAAATGAGCGCATCAACAACTTTGCACGATTACCCTTCGGCCGAGAGACGCACCGAAATCGAAGTTCGAAGACGACATTTGTCCACACCTGCGCATAGAACTGACTGCAAGTTGCCTTTCACGATCCAGTGGCGTACACGGGCCTGCGCTTGGCCCGGCGCGCTCGTCCGCGAGGGAAACGCCTCCAGGAGAGATGCTGACGGAGGGCGCGTGTGCGTCGGACAGACTGCGCCGGAGGCTGACGTCGGCGGATCAGGGTTGGAACTGCACTGACAAGTACTGTCGCAAGCTGAGGGGGATGGGCGCCCGACCGACATGACATCGATCACCACACAATAATAATGCGAGCTCGAGGCTATGGTAGAGGCGTCGCAAGGAATGGGTTGCTTGTGCGTCGCAGGGAGTCACAGGGAGCCAAAGTGCGACCTCTTTCTATGTGAAGAACCACCGGGAGCTTGGCTGCACTTCGACTGCAGCATCATAGGTGGCTCTGTTCTGCAAACAAATATGATGGAACAGCGACGTAATAAGAGAGGTGTATCTATGGTCGTTGGTTGCGTGCCAAACAACGAGCCAAACAAGGTGCCAAACACCGACGCGCCGTCATCGGTTCAAGTTTCCATTGGGTTGTGCCAAGAAGACGGATGCACTTACCCATTGCAGCGCGCGTGGACCGCAGCAATGACAAGTTGACCCAACTCGGCTGCGAAAACGGGACGACGAGTCCTATGCGGTTTCCGACTGAGTGCATGCCCCAGACCATGTTTGAACAGTTCCGCAATGTTGATGCGTTGCGCGCCAGAATAAATGCACCATTGCGTGGGAGGGTATTGTATTACCTGTTGGTAGTGCGGGAGCTGAGCGGGGCAGAGATTCTTCGAGGCAGCATCCAGGTAGGATTGCTTCAATCTCAACGTACGCGAATCGTCATGCTGGCTCAATTTTCCCATCGGCCCTTTTTTCCTTGGCAAACGCAGACAATGTCGGTACCTTGCCGCGCAGTATCAAGTGAAAAGTATCAAGTGGACGAGTCGAGTTTAACGCGTCAAAAGAAAGAGCCACTGGCGCCAATCTTCGTGTTCAACCAGACGGTCTCAAGGTGCTCGGATTGGTTATAAATAGCCGATATTTATCCAATCCGATGCCGAATAAATCGAAGTTAGAGGCCCGTTACATAGAGGAGCGGGCCAGAAGAAGAAAAGCCCGGCGAGCATGAAGAAGCGCGTGGCTTTTGGCATCGTGGAAGAGTTCACGTTCGCCGTAGCGCATGCGTGCTGTGGTGTACCTAGCGACGGCGGTGGCATCGGCCTCCATGGCCGCCACCTTGCCTACCAGTCCTACGACGTTCCGCGCCAGTCGGCGCGCCGGCCGCTTCGGCGGCTCTCGCATATGGAGCGCGTCCAGTGCGTCCGCCTCGACATGATCGACGGTGTCTGGACATCGCGACGCCCGTACTTTGACGAACTCATGCAGCTCTATGAGCTCGAGATGCGCGAGCTCGCCGAGTGCACGCGCATCCGGCGCCAGCGTGCCGAGACGAACGCGGTCGACGTCGATTACTGCTGCCAGCCTAAAGTCCCGGGCACCGAGCATGTCCCCATGTGGTTCGTTCATATCGATGCGATTGTGGATAGCCCGTATCGGAAGAGCCTCCAAGAGCTTCTCTCGCTGCCATTGAAAAAGCGCATGAGCCGCGACGCGGTGCCGTGCACGCCCGCCAAGGCGCGCCGCGCCGCACTCGTTCTTGAGCGGCGCCACGCGCGCTAGTCCATCGGCAGCTGCCCGATATGCATTTCGCCCGTCCGGATGACAGGCGCGCTTTACTTATTAGCCTCTCTGTCTCGTAGTCGTAGTAATTTTGATCGAAAGTGTTTTGTGTCCACGCGTTTTGAGTCTAGTGCCCTAAAACTCCACGGTTTGGTCGAGCTGACGGCGCGAGCCTGGCGACACCCAGCACAACTCCAGCACGCAGCTGCTGGTGCCACGACACAGATGCGTACCACGACTAGAATCTGGTCGTGTCCTAATCTGGTTCTGCAGCGTGACCAGCGACACAAGTCCTTGGAGCGGATGTCAGGCTGGGAACCGCGTCTATAGCCCTCGCGGTGACGCAGACATACCGCGTAGCCTCGCGCCACGGAAATCTCCTTGCCTCGCGCGATGTTGTCAGCTTGGCACCAGGATCTACAGTGTATTGCGATACGTGTGGCGACGACGGGCGGTGCAGCAGATGTCTTCGTCGCTTCTGATGCGCTATCAATGAAGAAGAGCGGTCGCGGGTGAAGTTCCGAGGTTGTCGTGCCTCCGAGCGTCGATTTGCCATTTCCCAAGTCCCCTCCAAGTCCTCAAACCATCATGGTGAGCCTCACGCCGTCGTCGACGACAGACCTCTTTGCGCTCCTCACGGCGCTGCGCCGCCACTTGCACAAGCACGCCGAGGTGACGTGGCAAGAGTTCCAGACGCAGGCGACGATCCAGACCTACTTGGTCGAGCACGCCGGCATTGCACCCGAAGACATCCACGTCTGCGCAACGACAGGTAGTATACTAGCCTTCTACACTTCGTACAACAACAACTGTGAACAGGGTTGGTGGTCAATATCTTTGGGCCAACGACCTCGGACGAGGCGGCGCCGCCGGGGCTGCGATGCGTCGCGTTCCGAGGCGACACGGACGCGCTGCCCATGACAGAGCGCAACCCGCACCTCGAGTACGCCTCGTCGAACACCGGTGCGGCGCACATGTGCGGCCACGACGGCCACGTCGCGTCGCTCGTGGGCTTTGCGATCGTCTTGCAGCGCGTGCGCCACTTGCTGCCGCCCAACACGAGCGTTCGCCTCCTCTTCCAGCCCGCAGAAGAGGGCGGCTTTGGTATTCCCGCGCTCTCTTCGGCGCTACGTTCTCATGCGCCAGATGATAGGCGCCGTCAAGATGATTGAGGACGGGTGCCTCGACGGCGTCGACGAGGTCTACGGCTACCACAACGGTCCGTTCCCGCTCAACACGGTGAGCGTCCGTGCCGGCCCGATGATGGCCCACGCCGCTTTCTTCAGCATTACAGTCTCGGGGCCCGGTGGCCACGGGTCGGCGCCGCACCAAACGCAGGACCCGGTGCTCGCGGCGGGCCATATCATCGTTGCTGTCCAAAGCATCATGAGCCGAAGCGTCGCTGCGCAGGAGAGCGCGGTCATCTCGATCACACAGGTCCACGGCGGCGAAGCCGACAACGTCATTCCTTCGCGCGTCACGCTCTCGGGCACGATCCGCGACTTTAGCCCCGATGTGTTTGACATCATCACGGCGCGCTTGACGGCGATCGCGACGCACACGGCGGCCGCGTACGGGACGACCGCGACCGTCGACGTGCGCGACTGCTACCCCGTGACCGTCAACGCGCACGCGCAGGCGAGCATCGTCGCCGACATTGTCGCGTCCACGGTCCGACATTCTTGCGTTTGCTGTTCGTGCTCATGCAAGGTGGTGTAGTATGGATCCGACAAAGTGTCGTCGCTCGGGCTGCCCGTCATGGGCTCGGAAGACTTTTCGTACTACCTGCAAAAGATCCCGGGCGCCTTTTACTTCGTCGGTACGAACGAAGGCGACGCGGCCGAGACGCTCCCGGCCATTGCGCCCTGCAGCCGCCAGAACCGCAACCCGCACAGCGACACGTACGACTTTAACGACGCAATTCTTCCGCTGACGCTCCGCCTCTTCCTCGAAATTGCGCAGCACCGCCTCGGCTGCACGCTCTACTCCAAGGAGGACTTGAACCTTATCTCCAAGGCGGCCTAGGACTCAATACATATCTACTTCGTATCTGTGGTCGTGACGATAAGTACGAACGCTTGATTTGGTGCGACCACCATGCCTGCCGCACAGGTGGTGGTACGAGGCTGGGGTCGGTGAGCTGCTGCGCCAAAGCCAGACGATGACAAGGTTGTACACAGGCGCGGACAGAGCAACTTTATTCAAACGAAAGTGTGAGCGCTACGTCTAGTCGTTCTTGCGGTTGCTAGCATCCGTGAGGAACTTGGCGTAGAGCAAACTGTCGCGGTTGGCGTCCATGCCGCACAAGACCGAGATCGCGAGGAACGTGACGACGGCCAAGATGACCGCGGTCCAGAGAATGATCTGGTACTCGGCAATGTTCTCGATCGTAAGCGGCGCAGCGGCCGTCTTGTCGGCCACCGTCGCGTTGGCGCTCAGGCTCAGCTGGCGGGCGAGAGCGACCGAGGCCGAGAGCTCCACCATGTCAATCTTCATCTTCTGCGAGAGCGTCAGCACTTGCAGACCCGCATTTATGTAATGCTCCTTGAGCGCCTTCTGCAGGTCCTGGACCGTCGAGGCGACGACGGCCTTGGCCGCGTCCTGCTTCTCAGCTGCAAGGCCGCTCAAGTCCGAGATCGAAGCGACGTAGAGACCCTGCACGCTCTTGTCGGCGTTCTTGATCGAATCGATCACAAGCTTCAAGTTGGTGAGCTCGCGCACCACGAGCTGGTCGGCAGTGTTCGCCGACTGCAACGCCGGAAGGGCCGACCAGAGCGACGCCTCCACGGTCGCCGCGTTCGTCGTCGAGAGCGCGTCCGTAAACTGCTTGTCGACGCTGCCGCAGACACTGTCGCCAACGCAAACGACGACGTTCTTGGCATTCTTGCCCTTCACGCCCTGCGCCAAGACGCTCACGAGGTGCGGGAGCTGCCCCGTCGACGCCTCCTGCAGATCCATCGTCTTTTGGAAAGCGTAGTCGGCCTTCTCGGGGGCGAAGCCTTCGCCGGCGCCCTCGACGACGACAAAGCCGTAGCCGGCCGTGTGCTTGAAGAGGTCGGCCGAGACCGCGAGCGGCTCCACAGGCACGACGGCCTCGGGCAGCGCGAGCGACTCCATGGCATGGCGGGTCAGCGAGAGGACGTCGGCCTTTCCCGAGCGGCCTTCCGCGCCCTTGACGAGGTTGGGCGCGCTGTACTTGACGACGACGTCCGAGGACGCGACGAGGGCCGCGATGGCCGACAGGATCACAAACGCCTTCATCGCAGTATACAACCCAAATGACTAGAGAAACTCCCCTTGAAGAGGGCGTCCGGATACGACGACCCTCCTTTGGAAGCGCATCCGGATGATGTTATAACACATCCGAAACACCCAAAGCCCGTGCAACGGTCGCATTCATGCGCGCGCAACGACCCATCAACGTCATGCGATAGAAACCACCACACGCTATGGCGTTCAAGCGTCGTGGACAAAGGCTATCGTCGAAAAAAGAGGTCGTGAGTGGGCTGGGCAGTGTTACAAAAGTGTTAGGTCTGCGACGGCCCCGCTGTATTGCGTGGCTGCAACACCGCACCCGGTAGGTTAGAAGTTGGGTGATAGTGTTATAACGACGGGCGTGAAACCGCTTCCATCTTGCCAGACGAAGGTGATGATGATGGACGGTCAAGCGAACGACGTCGACGACCGCCAAGCCGCCGTCGACGAGGCCTTCGCCCAAGCCTGCGCCCGCGCCAGCGAGGTACCGACCTCGTGTGACGAAGCCTCACGGGCGTAGCGAGCGCATCTGGAACTCGCGCGCTTGGACGCGCAACGCCAGCGTACGCGCAGCCAGCTTGGCGTTTCGGCTGCCACCATGGAGCAGGTAAGTCTTGCCGCTCTAAGCTTACCTCGTGAGCCGCCAGCTAACGTGGTGTGGCAGTGGACGCGCGAGCATCAGCTACTCCTGGAACGTGGTGAGCTTGCTCCTGCCAGCCTGAACGAACGCCCGTAAAAATGGACGACAGATGCAGTATATTGAAGAGTCCGTCACTACACATGCAACTACAGTATACACGTAGGCGACAGGGCCCGCTTCTATATCGTTCTCTACTTGGCCTCTTCATGGAGCAAGGCAGCGAGGCGGCTCACGGCGAGATCCATCTCTTCGTGCGACGCGGTCGAGTACGCAGCGCGCACATACGGCGTGACTTGGTTGTCCGGGAGGAACACCTGGCCGGGCACGAGGAGGACCTTGGCGGCGACGGCCTTTTGCTCAATGAGCGCCTTCGAGTCCTTCACGCCATGCAGTTCGATCCAGACAAACATGCCGGCGTCCGGCGCGTGCCACGTCGCGAGGCCCGTCAAGTGCTTGTCGAGCGCCTTGAGGAATGCGTCGCGCTGTCCGCGGTAAAAGTCGCAGACCATTTCCAAGTGCGCTTCCCAGCCGGCAGCGCCCCATTGTTTGAGGAGGGCGAGGACAACGGCTTGCGAGAGACCGCTGCTGTGGAGGTTGGCCGACTGCGTGTGGAGGTTGAGTCGCTCGACAAGCGGCGCCGGGCCATAGACCGTGCCCACGCGAAGACCGGACGAAAGGATCTTGGAGAACGAGTCGAACCGGAGCACGCGCCCGTCCACGTCCATAGACAAGAAGGACTACCATATAGTGAGTGAGCTTCTCCAAGTGGTCATGCATCAGGAAACGCACCTTGACACGCGGACCGTCGAGCTTGAGGTAGTAGTACGGGTCGTCTTCGAGGATGATGAGACCGTGCTTTTGCGCAATCTCGTATACGCGCTGCTTGCGCACATAGGACATGCTGACGCCAGTGGGGTTGCCGCCCGTCGGGATGGTGTAGAGCACCTTGGGCTTCTTCTTGGACGCCGGCCAGCTGTCGAGCGTGGCGGCCAAATGGTCCGGCACGAGACCCTCGCGGTCCGTGTCGATGCACACAAGGTCGCAGTTAACCGCGTGCAGATGCGCGAGCGTGCCCGAGTACGTCGGCTTCTCAATGAGAAGCGCGTCGTTTTCGCCGAGGAGCATCTCAAACGCCTTGTAAAGCGCATCTTGGCTACCCGTCGTCACCGAAAGCACACGGGCCGGTCCTCGCGGCGAATGCTCTTGCTCCATCATGCCCGAGATCGTCTTGACGAGCTCCGGGATCCCTGGTGTCGGTGAATACTGCAGCGCTGCCTCGAGCGCGGCGCCACGAAGATCCATGGTCTCCCCCGACTTGAGCTTGACCGACATGGACTCAAACGGGAAGGTTGACGGGTTGGGCATGCCCCTACATTATAATGCGTCATGCGCCGCCAGTTCGAATGTCGACGTACCCGCCCAAGGAGATCATGCCAGGCAGCGAGACCATCGGCTGCAGCGACCGGATCGCCGACGGCTGCCGACGCAGCGACTTGGCCGTGAAGTACGACTCGTAGTGCAGCGACCGGATCAAGCGGGAACCCTGGCGAGCTTGCATCGTCCAACCTGAAAAATGCCAAATGTGGCGTTTGTTGACGTTCCCGAACTTCAAGTTCGTCTCGAACGGCCGCCTCCCCTGGCCGTTCTGGCCTCTGAAGCGTCCTTCGCCCGCCTTCTGCCACGAGGTTGAGAGGCAGTCGGAGGCGCCATGGGTCAAGATGGGCCAAGACGTCTCACGAGGTAGGCTTCAACGACCGCTGCTACGTCCCAGGGCGACGCTTATCATGTGCTGGCATCGCATGTCAACTTGGCGCTTGTCCACGCAAAGATCGCATTGGCACTGCATGTGGCGTCGTCGGCGCGTCCATTCGACGTGTCCCAGGACCTTCTAATGGGGCTACTATGTCGAAGGTCTCTTAAAGCCGATCGCTAAGTTCTTATTCGTGTGCATCATCCAGCGTGTAGTGACCTGCAAGACTTGCCAGGAGGAGCTGCAGCTTCCGCATCGCAGCTGCTGGAGGCGGCAAAACCTCTTAGAATAGATGTTAAACCTCTTAAACTCCATATTTGCATCGGCGGCCGACCATGATGGCCGCGATCATCCCTCCGTTCCGGTTCACGACGGTCGAGCATCAGCTGTACCGGGGCGCGTACCCGACGCTGCCCAACTTCCGATTCCTCCGGCGGCTCAGCCTCAAGACGATCGTGAGCCTGATCCCCGAGGAGCCGACGACCGACCTCGCCGCCTTCTGCGCCCACGAGGGCATTGCCCAGCACACGTTCCGCGTCGAAAAGTACTCGAGCGACTCGGTGACCGTGGCGCCGGCAACGGTGGCAGCCATTTTGCAGCTGCTTCTCACGAAGGACAACCTGCCGATGTACATCCACTGCCTCGACGGCGCCAACGTCGTGGGTATCGTCGTCATGGTGCTGCGGAAGCTCCAGAACTGGACCAAGCTCGCGACGCTCCAGGAGTTTTGCCGCTTCACGCGCGACCACAGCATCGAGAAGGACGAGAGCGAGTTTCTCTCGTCGTATGCGGCCGAGATCACGCTGCCGCCGTACAGCCAAGTGCCCCGATGGCTCTGGAACGGCGTGCGCATCCAGGCAAGTCGCTTCCTCCTCGCGGCGATACTCAGCAATTAGCTATAGAAGCATCCGACGATGCTCATCAACACGCAGTACACAGCGCAGAACCCAAGTCAGTCGTACCTCCCCGTGCTCGAGGGCGAGCCGAATGCAGCGAGCACGGCCAACGCATCGGCACCTCAGCCCTTTGGCGACCGCAGCGACAACGCCCTGTACGTCTCTGCCTCACGTCATCGTTGCATGATTCATCCTCCTACTGTACGTAGCAGCGGCAGCGTCATGGATCTCTCCGAGAAGGTTGACGAAGGATTGCCGGATGACACCGACGACGTGGACATGCTCCTCGACGAGTCAGCGTCCGAAGTGGTCGTCGTGCCACGGTCCCTCCTTGCGTTGGACCTGGCGGGTCTGTAGGATGTTGAAGAGAAGCACAATCTTTCCCTTTTGGACGTTATGAATAAATAGGACAGATAGACTAGGCAGGGAGCGCCTTGACGTGCTCGACGGCCGCCACAAAGTTGGTGAAGTAGTAGCCGACCTTGCCGCCAGCGTCTTCCTGCGCGTCACAAATAAGACTCAGCAATTCCTTCGTTGCCAAGGGCGTCGCGAGGAGGCTCGAGACGACGACGTAAATGTAGATCGGGACAAAATCGTCTGCCGAGAGCGAGACGCCGCGGATGCTGCGGCTCGAGCAAATGAAGTCGTCGCTGTTGGCCTCCACCACGCTTTGGAAGATGGCGGTCGCCGAGTTCATGATGCACTTGAGCTTGTCGGAGGGCAGTGTGCACATGTCCATGGCCTGGAGCTCAAGGCGCGCGTGGTGCCAGTCGTCGCCCGAGAGGTTGGCCTTGACGCCGAACGCTGTCTGTGGCTTCTTGGCCAGCGTCCGCATCTTGCGCAGCATCTCTTCTTCGTTGGCTTCCGACACGAGCGCGCGGACGCACTCGGTGATGTGGTCTTCCAAGGCGACAAAGATGCGCTTCTGCAGGTGGCAGCTCACGTCGCGCCGGACGTGCACGACGAGGTCGTCGTACGTGTCGAGGTCGTTGGCATCGAGGTGCGCTTTCGTCTCGGCGAGGAACGCGTGGATGTCGTCGTGGCCGAGCACCGTGCGCTGCATCTCGCGGAGCTTTTCCTTGATGCAGTCGAGGAGGAGGCCCGCGTGGTCCTTGGAGATGCACGTGGTTTGCGCCGACGACCGCTTCTGCAGCAGCGTCGACTTGACCGGCGCAAAGTAAAATGGGGATGCTTTCGCAACAAAGTCGGCGACAAAATCGTCGCACGCGCCCTCGAACGTCTCGACGACCGACGCGACCTTTGCGTGGATCTGGCCGACGGGCGGACCCTTCTCGCCGTGGACGAGGCACGCTGACGAGAGCGTGTGGGGCAAGGGGCGGCTGTACGGCACGCGCGGCGTGTCGCTCGAGCCAATGCCAATGAAGGCGTGGAGGAGGTTGAGGACCTCTTGCCGCTGCGGCCCGAGCGGCGTCGGCGCCACCACGGACGCGATCTGCCGCAGGAACGAGTCCATGATGACCATGCGCTGGCGCGTAATCGACTTTTTGGACTGCAGCTGGAAGAGCCGCTTGGGCACGCGGCACTTGCGCAACGAGTGCATCGTGCCCCAGAACGGCACGTCGATGGGTGACATGGAGACGGCCTTGATCTGCTTGTAGAGGCCGTGGAGCTCCTTGTACGACTTGTGCACGGTCCACGAGTTGCACGCGTCTTCGGCGCGGATCGTGTAGAGGATCTGACCGCCGATCGTGGCGGTGCTCACGACCCGCACGTCCAAGGCCGGGGTTTGGAGGTACGAGTAGTCCATACTCGAGCTCAAGTCGGAGAGGCAGCGCTCCTTGGCGGAGAAGGAGCCGCAGCTGCAGGATGACGTCGTGCTCGACATCGAGTACGTCTTGGCGCGGCGGCGCTCTTCACGCGGCGACGCGAGCGACGCCACGACTTGGTCGCCCTCGGCGATGACTTCATCGAGGAAGACTGTGCCGTGGATGAGCTCTTCCATCGTCTCGGTCTCGAGCCACGCGTCATGGTAGTTGTTTTCATCCGACGACTCGGTCGTGTCCGTGCCCGTGCTGAGGCTGCTCAGGCGCAGGAGCTCGTCCATCGTCGTCGGCTCTTCGCCGTTGGCCGCGTCGAGCAGCCCTTCGTCGTCCGGCGACATATCGAGATGTACGCAAATGCTCAAATGACCCACTCGGGCGACTATGGCGCACGTAGGTCATGCAACCAGCTGGCACGTGCATTTTTAAAACTGGAATACTTTATCAGCCGCCAAAGCGCGACGCAGGAGCAGGGCGATGGCGGCATCTGATCGGCGCTCGCGGCCAGTAGCCAAGCGCGCTACTCGGCGGCGGCTGCTCGACATGTCGGAGCCTCGCCTCGCCGCGGCCCGGTGCTGGCCTCGGAATTAAATAAGATGCGGAATTTTCACCCGATCCTCGCACGCAACACCTTCAAGTGGCACGTTCGCCAAGCAACTGGTGGCGAAAGCAAGGTGATTTGTTCAATAATAATATTTTGAAGCAAATCGTCAATATTATTTCAAGAGCTTTCAATAACAATACAATATTGCATATACTTGCAGTAAAACAAAATATTTAGAGTGCTAAGCAGGCGCAATTAACAAGAATCACACCAGTAAGGTACAGATTAATCGAAAGACTCCATATCCCAGATAAATGAACCAAGTGGACACCCACTTGCAAAGGTGTCAAAGTCGTACTTTCCCGCATGTGGGCAGGAAGGAACGAGCATGATGCAGGGAGCAGCTCCGGAGAGGGCGGCTGTCGGTTCTCGCTGGTGCAACATAAAGCACCACGTCCAACAAAGCCAGAGCCCACGTCCCTCAGTGCATGTAGGCAAGTGAGTCTGCGCCGCCTGGGATGATCAGATACAGGAAGCGTGACAGAGGCGCCGGTCTTCTCACTTACGCATCGGCGCAACTGTCCGCCAGACAACTGCCGAGTAGCCACGACACTGCAAGTGCATCTTCTTGGCAGCTCCATCACATGGCCTTTCGCTTGCACGTTGGACGGTTGGTGCACATGCGATGAGATGGTCCTTGCCATCGACGGCGCCAGTCTCAGTGCACGGCTACTGCACCGAATCAATCGAACCAAGCCTTGTTTACAGACCTCGAGATCTCAAGTAGCATCCTCATGCGCTGCGTGAACATGGCCAAGCAAAGAACAACGATCGTGGAAATGCACGCCTGATTCAAAGCTTGGGCGAGTTGGTCGAGTACGCTGCTGCTAGCTGCTCCTGTGCTTGCGCGATCAGACGGCGCCGACACATGGGACCGCAGTGCGTACCTCTCGCATGGCGACCTCGTACATGGTGGAGCGGAACGGAATCGAGAGCGCGCTCTAGGCTTGCAGGTGAGTCGGCGACGGGATCGGAAGAGGACCCACGAGGTTGCGCTCGGCCTTGGCGAGCTCGTGGGAGAGCGCGACGACCTGCGTGTTGAGCGTCACGAGGAACCCGTTCGTCTACGCAGCAGCGTGAGACCATGGTCGCTGACGCGCTGGTCGACCTCGTGGAGCGAGGCGAGGAACGCGCCCATGGCCTCGAGCGTCTCGATCTCGCTCTCGTCCATTGTAAATAGGGCACCGGATACGAAGACGCCAGTAGTATCCGGAAGATCATTTTTTGTCCGCATCATCATCCTCAAGGTGAGGCAAGTGCGGGCAGACGGGCGAGGTCCGACGCCGGCTGCGTTAGACACGATGCACCTGCAAGGATGGGTGCTGTTGTGGTACACCTGGCTGGGCATGGCTACTGGTACCAAGGCGGGGCCCACACTGCGTCTGTCGTCCGTCGGGAAGCGGACTCGTCGCGTCCCACAACGGGGCTCATGGCGTGCGTGTCGCGCTGCCATCATATTACAATTGGGCGTTGGCGAAGAGCTGATACCGTCTGCATCTCCAAATAGACATTGGAGAGAGTGGGACTCTGCGTCTGGGCGACCAATTGCTGCCATTCGCCCATTCGTAGACGCGATGGCTCCAGGTCGCTTCGCCGAAGTCCTCAACGAATATGTGCCCGTGGTCACGCCGTACATCGCCACGGAGCTCCTCAAGCTAGGCCACGCCCGCGTCTATGATGCGCTCTTTGACCAGCGGGAGATGCGCTCGATCGGCACGTCGAAGAAGGTGGCACTCTTCGAAGCACGCGATGAAGCTGACGGCAGCACCGCGATGATGGGCTGCGTCGAAGTCTCGGGTCACGTGCTGGACGCGCACCGCTTCCTTGGCAACCAACTCCAGAACGCAGGCCCAATTGCGAACGAGCTCCAAGCCATGAGCAGCCTCTTTGGCTCGCTCGTCCTCGATGGGTACGTGCTGCACACAGTGCATCACCCGGGCGAGAAAGGTCCGTACGAGCAGATGAGCATCAACTGGACCGCGCTGCAGCCGGCGCACTCGTCGCTCGTCGACCGCGACTACGTCTTCCTCCAGTACGCGGACGTGTACGCGAGGAACGGCCCTGAGCTGCACCGCGTGTCGACGGACGAGCTCTCGCTGCGGCAGGTGCACGACTCGCGCCTCGTCGCGTGCCATATCTGGGAGAGCGTCGAGCTGGACGGAACCGACCCGCTGCCGCACCTCGCTCTCTCGCGTGACCGACTCCGGCGCTGGTACTTCCTCGCGGACGCCGTCTCCCACGGCCGCGTGCGCGTCTCGTTCGTCATGACGTATCCCAGTGCCCAGTACCACCGCAACTACACGGAGAAGTTTATGCTGCGCCTGAGCCGCCTCGAGGTGCTTCTCTCCAAGGAGTGCGACACCAGCCCGATCTGCAACCTCTGCCTCAAGACCTTCTCGCTCTTCCGGCGCAAGATCCAGTGCAAGACGTGCAAACTCAACTTTTGCGCCAAGTGCATCCTCGTCTCGAAGGAGTCGACGGCGACGATCTGCAACGCGTGCAACGAAGGCAACCCGATGGGTCTCCTCCGGCGCATCGCCGCGACCAACTCGTCCGACTCGGACTCGGTGCACTCGTCCAACACGTCTCTCGCGCTGCCAGCGACACCGCCGGCTCTCTCGAGTCTCTCGCGGTCGCACTCGACGCCAAACGTCAAGCGCCGCAGCAGCGCCGACCGGACGACGTCGAGCACGCTCTCGTCGTCACAGGACGATTCGCTTCTGCTCGATGAGCACGAGTCGAGTAGCCACATGATCCGCGTCGACTTCTCCCAGTGGTAACGCGATCTTATTTACAAACGATTAAAGTGTTGTTGTAACATTTGTTGCTCGTGCTATTTTCAGCGGGCCTGTCTACGACTCGAGCATCGTCGATGGCGCTCGATCCGGCCGACGTGCCCATGCTGCTCACGTGGGCGACCTACGCGTACATGCCGGTGGCGCTGCATCTCTTTGTGTCGCGGCGGCAGCTCTCGTCCATCAAGTACCGCGAGCCGCTGCCAATGAGTCTCGCCGCGCTCTTCTTGAGTCTCTACTCGCTCTGCGTACCGCCACTCGTGTGTTTTGGTGGTCACTCTCCGTATACGCTCATCCTTTTCTTTGAGTGGATCCTCCTCATCACGGGCCTCGTCACATACCTGCTCACACAGTGCATCCTCGTGGTCAAGTTTCACATCACCGAGGTGCTCATGGACCCCGTACAGGCCACGGTGGTGCGTGTCGGACGCATCAAGTACCTTCGGTGGCTCCTCTACCCGCGCTTCCAGCTCGTCGTTTGGGCGACCGCGACCGCTCTCCTCAACGCACCGCTGGTGCTCTTCGCAAACACAGCTGCGTCGGTCAATACAACGGTGGCCGACTTCAACCAAAGCGATGGTCTTGGCAGCATCGGGCGCCTCCGGCTGTACGCAGGCATCGAGACGGGCGTGCTCATCCTCGCCTCGTACGCTCTCGCGCGCTCGATGAGCCGCATTGTTGACAACTTTGGACTGAAAGAAGCTTATGCACGCGCGGCGCGGGTCATGACCATTGGCGTTATCCTGTACATGTCTGTGACGCTCCTCGCTGCGCACGGTGTCGTGCCCGGCTTTGACGCGTGCCACGTACCGACGCTAATTGGGCTCCACACGGCGCACGCTGTGTTTGCGATCACGGTCGTGCGACCGCTACGCGCCTCGTATGCGCACAAGGAGACGCACAAGGACCTCAAAGCGCGACTGCGCCAGACCAAGCGCGACGTCGATCAACTCGAGTCGATGGTGCTGTACCGGTACTTGAACACGGACGGTGGCTTTGGCGACTTTTTGGCGTTCTCCAAGAAGGAGCTCTGCGCCGACGCCATCTTGGCGTGGCGCGAAGTGCAGCGCTACAAGGAAGGCGGTGTCGCGATCGAGCACATTTACGCCACGTGTCTGGACGCGGGGTGCCAATTCCAAGTCAATATCGCGCCGACCGTCCGGCGCATGTACGAGATCCAGCGCCCGATGGTGTGTTCGTCGCTCGAAGCCAAACAGCACAAACTCTCCATTTCGCTCAAACGCTTTCACCGAGTGCTACCAGACGCGGCGCTCAAGCTCGCAGCCCCGACAAACCTCTCATCGGTGGCGCCCATCTTGGACCACCGGACGTCTCTGCAGTCCCATGGCCACGGCCACCGCCTTCCATCGCAGGGCGCGACGACGATTGCGGACGACTACTCGCGCATGAGCGTCTCGCGCAGCAAGCACGAGAAGCTATTTCACCCGCTGGGCGCCGAGTTCCTCCGCGTCATCTACATGGACGTGCTTCCTCGCTTCGAAGAGCACGCGGCAACGGACGCGTGGGTGACATTCCGGAACCGGGAAAAAGCCATGCTGTCCTTGGACACGCTCGAGCACATGATAGACGGCACGATCGAGCACGGCGCCGAGATCGCCCAGCGCGGAAGCATGCCCTGCATCGCGGACCTGCCTCGGATACAAAAAATGCTTGCGCGGCCCACGGAGGAATTTTCATAGGGCAAAACCGAAACTGTCAATCAATACCGGAACCAAAAAGTCCGAATTTCAGATGAAGCAATATCCGATTTTCAATGTCGTGGCCCTGAGTTCAGGTCCCGGTGGACGATTACAGCCCGGTCAACTGGCTTCGAACGTGCTTGGTTCTCTTTTACCACGCTGTGCTGGCGAACAGCGCTGCGTCACCCGGCGCGTCCATCGCACCCACTTTGCACTTGCGAGCGACGTGGCGCGTACTCATGGCGACGACGCCGGCGATCTGCAAGGTCGCGGCCTGCTACATCACTACGAGCCAATGCAACCGCACCGCGAGTCCGTGCCCGACGTGCTTGACGCAATCGTCGGACATTGTCATGTGCTCGGACGTGAGCCTCGGCTGCGACGGAGGCACGGTCTGCGCGCCGCTCGTCTCGAGCCCGCTCCTCTTCAACAATAGCACACTGCCAGCGACAACAACGCTCGCGCCCGACGAGGCGTCCAAGAGCACTGTCACATATGCGCTCCTCTGTGGCGGCCTCTGCTGCCTCGTCTTCGTGCTCTACGGCGTACTGCGCTGGTCACAAGCGCAAAAGAAGCGCGAGGCGGCGCTCGACTCGGAGGCGACTGTGGACTCGAGCGCACCCCAAGCGCAGGCCCGCGCGCTCGACTCGACGTACTCGCTCGACATGGTCCCGAGCTTGCGGCCAACGCCCAACAAATCGTTGTTGGACAATACCAACCATAGCAACGCGAACAGCTATACGCGCAAGAACACGGGCGGCACGGTCCTCCACGACGACCCCGCGACGTACTCTATGTTTCACACGATCGGCCGCATCTCGGGCGTCCACAAGCACCGCGCATCGAGCCTCCTCTCGCAGCAGAAGGACAGTATCATCTACATCATGGAAGAAGACGACAAGAGTCTCGCCGACGAGTAGCAGCAAGTCTGCCCGTGTAATTTATCTCGACTCTCGACTAGACATGGCTCTTGACGCAGAAAAAGAGATGGTAGCTCCGCGCATTCTTGTGCGTCACGGTGCCTAAGACGGGTGCTGAAGCGATGGAGGCCATCAGAGCTGTGTACTTTGTCGGATAAGCTTCCACGAGAACTGCGCGTGCTCCAAGTACGCAAGGCGCGTGGGCGAGTGCGTCACGAGCACAAAGGTGCCGCCGCTTCGAAGCACTTGGTACATGGCGCGGAGATATGTAAACGTGTCTTCCACGTTGGTCGTCGGCGCACAGAGGAGCGCATCGAGAAGCCCTAGGATTACCTTGAACGTCATCGCCACCACACCTCGAAGAATGCTCGACCTTTGTCCACGATGACGTCAAACGTGCTGGGCGGTATGACTGCTGGCACTTGGAATACGTCGAGGCAGACAACTACCAAACACCGTGAGTCGCAAGGACGCTGCGTATCAACGAACATTCCATGGCGTCGGTCGCACGCTCGGCCGTCTGCGTCGCAGTCATGCGCGCGATCGCGACCGGTGACGAGTCGAGGTTGGTGATGTTGTGATAGCCGCTCGCGTGAAGTTGGACGCCGACGTCTAGTGTTTCATGAGATTTGACCTGTTGACACGGCAGCACCCGAGAGCCCGCAGCCTGACCAAGATGTGAATACAAACGGTACCAGGAGCAGCGCACCTGGAATTAGGATCTCGCACTCGAGACCGTACGCCGCCAGCAACGGCGTCAAAAATGGCGCGAGCTACCCACCGCCTTTCTTATGCGAGAGCATTGAGCGACATTGTACCTGCGCGAACGAGAGGTACCAGTCAAAGTACGTGCACTCGGTGAGCGCCTCGAACTTGGCGTCCCAATCCATCTGTGAAACGGACTCTCATTTTAGGAGATGATAACTATGCTAGCTAGTGAATACGTCGATCACGCGACGGTCTTTGTGATGATGTCGTTGACCTTGGAGCCGTGCGTCGAGAGCAAGTTGAGCGCAAAGTCGGCAATGTCCTCGGCGTCGGCAGCCTCTGTCTCGGGCTCGTGCGACCGCGGCGGCTTGGTCACTTGCGTCATGACGTACTTGATCGTTTTGCTCGGGTTGTCAGGGCACGGCTGCAACACAATCCTAGTTGCATCGCCGTAGGACGGAATTGCGAATCGCAAAGATTTACCAGCCAACCGTGTTGTCGCGGAAGCAGTGGGGGCTGTGCGGGAAGAGATCGTCTTGGAGCAGCGACCGGTACACAAACACGATACGCGTTGCTTCCACGATGCGCTGGGCGAGGTACCGGCCTTGCACAGCGACGTCAAAGAGGTTGTGCGTCACGGTCGCCCGTGTCTCCGTGTACACCGTGTCTTCGTCCACTTGATGCAGGATCTACCAGGTATGATACAAGCGATTTTGTCGAACCCGTCATGCATACCGAGCCGTTGGCGTCGAGAACGGAGGTGCGAGGGACCTTGACGCGCTGGCAGAGCACGGCCCATAACCCCGCTGCGACGGCGTCCATCTTGGCGTCAAGGACGTTGCACTGCATAAAGTCAAACCACAGGACGTTGTGGCGCGAGCGCAGCGAGAGCGACGAGTGGCCGTCCTTGAGGTCGTACACGCTGTTCTTGATGAGCTCCGACTCCATGCGGTCGTGGAGGTGGCTTAGAATCGCGCGCATGCTGTGCTCGCGGGCCGCGCTGTCGACGCCGAGGCGCCACGTTCGCCATTCGTCGTGGTCAGACTGAGGTGTGAGCTACACATCGACGGATGAAATGGTCGCTAGCGTTGATGAAATGGCGTACCGCGAGCTTGGGCTTCTTCTTGAGGACGCGTTCGAGAGCGCTAATCGTCTTGAGCTGCTCCTGGAGCATGTTGCGCAAGAGGGTGTTTTCTTGCAGCGTCTTTTGCGCAGCGACCACCTGGTCCTTGGCGCGCGTCTCCCAGACCGAGGCGTTGAGCGGCAGCTCGGCGCGCTTGCTGAGCGTGTCGAGCGTCGTGCGGAGGTCGGTCTCCTTGGCGCGCAGCGCGTCGATCTCTTGCTTGAGCGTGATGCGATGGCGCTTCCGGCGCTTGGGCTTCTCGTCCGTCGAGCTCGTCTCGGACGTTCCGTCATCCTCGAAGTCGCCCTGGTCGCCCGGGTACTCGTCGAGGAACTCGCCAAATAGGATGCGCTCGACAATGTCGTCGTCGCTGCTCATGCCAATGTCTCTGACTCGACTGAGCGACCAAATGCGTCCCGTTACATGCCTTTGTCTCAGCCAATCACACGACAGCAATCGACGCGCCACATGCGAATGCGAAGGAAGACCGACATGGACGCGACTTCCACGACGAGCTGGCAACAAGAAGAGCTCCTTGGACGCGCGAAGAGCGTGCGCCGCCAAGACGTTTGCTCGAGAGCGCAGTCGTCGTCGCAACGCAGAAATGATATCGCATCATAGGTCGTGATAGTACATCTGGAATGAAATGCACTACTCATTCGCAATCACACGCTTGTTGATGCAGCAGTTTGCCCTTTTGCTCCTGAATACCATGCAAAGGTCATTCGGTAATGGTGGTCGACTAGTGGGATAGGGTTCTTTGGGGGCTAGGGTGCCGTCGCTCCATCAACACGCCATGATGCAACGCATGCGATGGACCAAGTGTCGTTTGGGGTCGATGTTACGTGGTCGATGGCGGTGGCAGCACCGTGTAAATCGTGGCAAACTCGGCTTGGATCGCGGCGAGGTCATCGTCGCTAGTATCGCATTCTTCTTGGGACTTACTCCATGAGAGATAGTAATACCTGACATCAAAGTCATACCACCACGTGGGTGGCAACGGGTTGGGCTCCTAACGCACACAGAGGCGTGATGGCGGTTGCTGCAGCGTTCGTACCTCGAGGAGCGCGTGGGCAATGTAGATGCACGCGACCGCGACGATGGGAGCGTCGTACGTCAGCGACGACGGCGCGTAGAACAAGTCGCTGGCGAGTGTGAGCGCCACTTGGACGGTGGCTTTGGAAACACTAAGTTGCGCAGATCAACCTTGCACGTTTGTACGCAGCGTACCGCAGGAAGCGCGCGTAATTGAGCAAGTACTTGTACGGCAGGTCCATGTCCAAGTCGAAACGCAGCACGCGCAGGACCTGCGAGAGCGTGATAGGAAAGAGTTGGGCATGCAGGAATATACATTTTGCTCGCCATCGAGGAGACGCTCCTTCATCGACGTGTACTCCTATTGCCATTATGAGCGTACCAAGATGGAAGGGAGCCTACCGAGCCAGTTGGAACGGGCGAGTTGGTCTTGTGGGCAATGCTGTAGGCAACGTTCATGATGTCTCGGAGTTTACGCGGCTTCTCCGATAGCTACAGCACGCATGACGGGCGATTCGGTGCATGGACGTGTCTACCTTGGTCGAGAGAAAGATGCACGACGCGCCAATGTCCATGAACGGAAACGTAGCCGGGCTACTTGGGCATGAGCGTGGCCATGTTGGTGCGATACCAGCACCTCTTGGACGCGTAGAAGCGGTGGCACAGCATCATCGCCGTCGTTGTGGCGACCTGTATGTGCATGAGCCATCACACGCTTCGAGTGCGCAGCGAGCGACGTACGTAGCCCAGGTGCAGGCGTGCGCAGCAGTCGGCGACGAAGCTCGAGATCGCGTGCCATCGGCGATCGGCCTCCATTCGCGCTGCCAGATATTCTGCAAACCTTCGATACAGTATATTTGCATCCAATGCAATGTGAGAGGTTCGTCACGCACCTGCCATCTTGCCGTGCCGGAAGGCAACCTCTGACGAATGCGAGGATCAGTCATGCGTGAGCAGGGACAAAGGGGCGCGGAAGCGGCAAGCACGATGCAAGGCAAGTAGGGTGATGGTACTACACATTCATTCAATAGATATTGGTTTCCTAGTCGTAGTGTTACAGAACCATATCGATGTTGCTAGTGGACGGGTGCGGTTGACCCATCATCATCGAAGCGGCTTCTTGGGCCGAAGCTTGCTGGACCATGAGCTCCGAGAGCTTGGCCTCCGACGCGTTGATGAGGCAGCTGGCGGCATCCTGGGAAGCGCAGACGACTTCGAGCAAAAGCTTGTGCTTGCGGTCCGACTCATCCTTGGGGTTGGCCGGCGCGGCGCAGGTTTGCTCAAAGAGGCGGCGCGAACGCTGGACGAGACGCGTGGCTGAGTTCTTCTCCGACTCGAGGAAGACGAGGCAGCGGCACATGGCCGAGCACACGTTGGGCGCAGCCACCTGGCAGAGCGCACCGAAGCGGCGACCCGCGTCGTCGTACTTGAGGCACGCGTCCTGCATCTCCATTTCCGCTGCCTGCGTTGCCTGCTGCGCGAGGATGTAGAGATCCTTGACACCGCCGCACTTGAGCGCCGTCTCCATTTGGAGGCACGCGCTGTACGCAACCTGGGCAGGGTTCGAGAGGGGCACGCTAGGCGTAGCGACCGTCGAGTTGGCACTTGCGTTCTGGCGCGCCTCGGCGTCCATCTCGAAGTCCGAAAAGACGTCCGTGAGGTTGTCGGTATCCGTCTCCATACCCGCGTCGGAGGGACCGCTGAGCGGCGCCGGCTCCATGTCGAACTCGCTCGACTCGCCGACCTGGTTGTACAGGTTGTTGACGAGCACGTCAACCATGGACGCGTCTTCGCCCTTGATGGCGTCGAGCATGTCGGTGTTGTCCGAGTCCGAGTCGTTCTCGCTGCGCGCCATCTTGGACGGGTCGTCGATGCCATTCACGCTCTTGCGCTTCTTGGCGCGGCGCACAGGAGGGACGCCCTGGTTCTTCTCCTTCTCGTGGATATGGCGATGACGGCAGAGGTTTCCCGACGTGTTAAAGCCCTTGTTACAGATCTCGCAGTGGTAGGGCTTCTGGCCCGTGTGCGTGATCTCGTGGCGCGCAAGGGTGAAGGCACGACCAAAGCGCTTGGAGCACTTGCAGCACGCAAAAGGCTTGAGGCCCGAGTGCGCCTTGACGTGGCGACCGAGGTTGCTCGACGAGCAAAAGATGCGACCGCAGCCCTGCACGGGACAGACAAACTTCTTGTTGTCGCACGAGCTGTTGGACTGCGGGCTCGAGTCGCAGCCATCCTTGCAGTTGCCAGGTGACTCGCAGCCCGAGTCCGAGAACGACTCGCACTTCTTGAGGCCGACGCGGCCAGGTGTTACAGCGGCAAAGGAACCTTCCGGGGGCTTCTCGCCATCAGACTCGGGCTCGATGTCAGCAATGCCACCGCCCATCGTGTAGTAGTGTTAGGAAGCTGGGAGAATGCGACTCGAATCGTAGATCAAAAGCGGCGCCGGGTGAGCAGCGCGAGCGAGAAGCCGGGTGTTCAGGTCTCTGCGAATGGGATTCTGACGGAGCTTGCGGCGCTGCCACCCGGCGTGCCGCCCGTACACCGTACATTGTGTCGTACAGCAGATTGTACATTCATTCACATACAAAATGCAAGATCGAAATGTACCATGTTCGAAAACAGCGAGTTGTACGGCTTCTGGCGTCATTTGTGAGTTTTTTCAAGACTGCGCCGGTTCCATACTCAATTCAAGATATTCGAATGAAACGCAATGTATTTTGTCGAACGGCCCCAATCGCTGGTTACAATGTATTGCTACTGCTTTTGGTGGGTACGTTTTTATTAATATACACTAGCACATACAAAGTGTAGAGAAAGGACTAAATTATTTGATTGGACACGGACAAACATTTTATTCCCGCGCTCCAAAACCAGATTGGATCAAAAATTGGAGAATCCTTTGAAAACGCATAACTCGCAAGGGCGGACACATCGATAAATAGAGGTCAACATCTTTCAGTGGTCGTGGCGGGTTGCATTTTCAATGCTTCGAAATGCCCTTCAAGCCAGTGCTCAATCGGCGCAGGTGAGCGAGCACCTGGATAAGCACTCGGCTCTTCGTTGACTAACGGGTCGCTCGTTTCAAATCATACATGGGCTCTCGATTGGACCGTGATTTATGCACCGTGCCGCCCATGATCGAATCCAGTCGGCTCCCGGTCTGTACAGTGTAATGCCCAGTCGCCAGCTGTCAATTCTTGAAGAGGCTGCTCGCAGAGAAATATACAAGGTCGACTTTGTCCACCGTGTAGAGATGGCACCGTCACGTGAGGCAAGCAACGGGTGTCCTTGTATGCTTTAAACCAAGCAGCAAAACTGCATAGGTTCGCAGAGACGGTCCTCAAATGAAGGCACGTGTCCGATGCTGCAAAGCGGGACGACGGCCGAACAAACGGGTGACAAACCTTCCATGACATCGTTCCAATTCGTATACAAATCCCGAGATCGTTGCGACGCATACAAATCCCAAGATACATATTCACGGTGGCTCCTCTCCGTTCCAGCGCCGATCGTGCGCCAAATGTCGCGCTGCGCGCAGGTGCTCGTCAATATTTACGGTCCTCCCCTCGTGCGCGTGATATCCATCACGGCAAGGTCCTCCAAAGGGACGAGCTGTCTGCGCCGTGTACCCACCGCCAGCTCCCTCTCCTCGCCGCAGGTGCCGCTTGCTCTCTGGCTCTCTGCTTGAAAAAAAGGCGCGGAACTTCATGTTCCTCCCATCCCAGATGGCAATCACAGCCATCACAAAACACTGCGATTCGGTGAACGCGAACGATGTCACAATACTTGAGCTTCAACGTATGCAATACCAACGGCCAGCTCCAGCGGCCATTGGCCGCGTCAATTGACGACGGCGTGGGGGAGTGCGGCGCCCGAGACGCCAGCGACCACGTTTTGCACGGCGATGTCGGCCATCGCCTGGCGTGTCTTGATGGTCGCCGACCCAATGTGCGGGAAGATCGTGCAGTTGGGCAACGTGAACAACTACACGTAACGTTAGTACGTGCAGAGAGGAGCGATGCTAGGGTCATGGGGTGTCAACCTTGTCGTCAATCGGAAGAGGCTCGGGGTCGGTGACGTCAAGGCCGGCCGCCGCCAGCTGCTTAGCAACGAGTGCGTCGTAGAGCGCGGCTTGGTCCACAACCGGGCCACGGCTCGTGTTGATGAGGACGGCCGACGGCTTCATGCTGCGCAAACTACGCACCCATTAGTTTAAGTCCCACGCTGCCTGGGGTGTACGTCGTGGCGTTGATGAGGTGTTGCGTGCCTGGCGTCAGTGGGCAGTGCACGCTCACAATGTCGCTGGCGCCAAGGAGCTCGTCCAGGGAACAATACCGAGCTCCAAGCGGCTGCGCAGCTTCTGGCTTTTCGTTGGGACCGGTGTAAAGAATGCGGCACCCAAACGCTGCGCGCATCATCTGCGCGTACTTGGCCCCGATGCGGCCGAGGCCGATGATGCCGACGGTGCTTCCCTCGACGTCCGTGCCGCAGTACCTACGACAACATCGTATCACCCGTCGCATCAATCGATGGCCAAATGCACTGGAAGGGCTGCCACGTGCCCCACTCCCCCGCCTTGGCGCTGAGGACGCTCGCAACCGCGTGGCGCTTGGCCATGAACGTCAAGGTCACGGCTGTTTCGGCCGTGGATGTATCCAAGACACCTAACACAGAACGATCTCAGATCGTCGTAAGCAGCAGAAAGACGCGGCCGAACCAGGCGTGAACCCAACCGCGACGCCTTTCGCGCGGCAGTCGTCGACCATGACGTGATTGTAGCCGACCGACATGGTGGACACAACCTTGAGGCGCGGGCCCGCCGACGCCAGCACGTCGGCGTCGATGCGGTCCGTGAGCATGCACAAGATACCGTCGCACGACCGAACGCGACGCAAGAGCTCGTCGCGCGGGATCGCAATGTCTTCGCGCTCAAAGGCATCGCACTCGACGTTCGCGCGCTGCAGTTGCTCTAACCGCCGCATGCTCAGCCATTGGCGCACTAGCAGCTATACCCATGATGTACGGAACATGGCGCGTGAGGAAGACGCGGGGCTTGGCCGCGCTGCTCTTGACGACCGCCTGCATCGCCGATCCAAACAAAATAATGTGCTTCGGTGGCTTAAAAAGCAGAAGCTATTTAACATTAATGTGATTGGTCCAAACCACCTATCGACTTCGAACGGCGGCAATACTGCTTACTGGCATCATGGCAGCGTCCGCCAGCGCCACGGGCCACCTCCTCGAGCCCATCAGGTCGGCGCCATGCATCGGTGCGTAGCCTCATGCGCTCGACGTGTAGAGACCTTGGCTGGCAGCTCGACCTCGCAGCCGAGCTCGAAGAGTACCTGCAGGCCATCCAGGCCGACGAGTCGGACTTGGTGAACTTTGCCCAAGCCGCACTGCTCGTTCAGAACTCGACTGTGCGGTACAGTAAGAAGGTCGAGAACCTCTACACGCTCGTGCTGGATGCGCTTACGCAGTTCCAATCGCATCCGGAGAAAGAGCGCACCACGAAGCGACAGCGCACGGCCCACGGCAGCGCCTCCCGCGGGACGGCGTCCGACAGCACGGTTCTCGCCACGTCCGACTTTGAGTCGCACGGATCGTCGCTCGATGCGCCCGTTCACTGGACCTTCCACAAGCGCGTTGAAGAAAGCGACAAGATCGATCTGTTGCCGAACACACAGCTCCTGCACGCGTCATCGAAGCGCATCACGACCAAGACCTTCCAGTGCGATCGATGGTTGGTGCATCAGTGTCTAACGGGTTTCATTGTAGGGCGTCCATGGCGCTCATGGGCTCCTTGGTGCCGGACGAGGTCGTGACGGGCGAGTCGTTCAAGCTCCGGTCGTGCACTGTGCACAGCAAGGTTTTCTCCACCCTGTCGTCCAGTACGTTCATCTTGCGCGTAGTCGGGTGCACTGCTGCTGGATGACTGCAGCAAGCTCCTCTTGGATCCCGATGCAGCTGTCCCGACGGTCGAGCTACCGGCAGAGGCAGCCAATGTCACCTTTCGTCGTGGGACGCTGCTGGGCAACATCTCGGAGGGTGACGAGGAAGCGCCAGAAAACGATGCTGTCTCCAGCGAGAGTGTAATGGCAACCGAGACCAACGGTGAAGTCGACGACAACAATGACGTCAACGACGACGGAATGGACTACGACTTTGGCGGCGGCTACGAGTCACCGATGAAGGACGTTGCTCCGAGCAGCGCGCCGACGACGCCGCCGCCGCCGCAAGAGACTGATTTTGCTGCCACGATGAACGCGAGTCCAGTGAAATCCAAGCCCGACCCGTGGCTGCAGCTCGACCCGTACGACGCCAGCCAAAGCGTGAGCCAGCCCTTCACCAAAGGTCACCGTCATCGGACTCTAACTTGTGTCTAATCCGAAACGTAGGTGTGACGTACACTACGCCCAAGCTCAAAACGACCAAGTCGGCCATCGCCAAGGACGAGCCGCTGTATGACCCCAACGCAAAGCGCGCGCAGCGCAGCGCCGAGCGCCTCAAGCGGCAACTCGCGGCCAAACCCGCTTCGTTGTTCATGAGCTTTGACTTTGAGAACGTTCCGTTTCGGCAGCTGCACCTCCAGTATGCGAACGCGATCGTTCGAGTAGGCAGTCGTCCACGTTTTTCAGTGGCTTGATCCGCGTGTAGACGGACGCGGCGGCGACGGCGCCCAAAGCTGCGCCTTTGTTCGTGCCCGCGGACGAGATGTCGACCGCACCGATGCTCGAGGCTAACGATGACGACGTTGTCGTCGATGATTATGGCTTTGACGCGGGGGTGAGCGATTACGAGGACGACGATGGCTGTGTGCCATATTCCCCCGCGCCGCCACCCGTCAAGGCGGAAGGCACCAAGGAAGAGGACATCTTCAAGGCGGACGATGACGTGCCGTCGTACGAAGACCTGTGCAAGCAACACATTGTGCGTCAACCTCGAGCATGATGGTCGAGCAAGCTGTGATCTGCGTAGGAGCAATTCTTGCACGGGTCCGAGCACTACAAGAAGCAGACGACGTTGACACGAAAAGTGGCCAAGTGGCAAGCGTCGTTGGCGCCGCTGCTGACTGCCCAGGTCGATCATGTCTCTCTTGCTGCCCGCGCTCATTCATGGCGGCGTACTAGGAGGCGCGCCCGCCGTTTGACATCCAAGCGTGCGGCAAAAACATCGTTGACCACCTCGAGCCGACGGCGCCTCGGGCGTTTGGTGCAGTCGTCCAAGGCTTATCAGTGTACGAAGTGTGCCGCATGTTCACGGCCACGCTGCAGCTGGTACGTGCCTCTCCCTTCAGCACGCGATATCATCGTGTTGGGTAGGCCAACGCTGGCAGTGTCGAGCTGGCCCATACGAACGACATCGACTCGCTCGAATTGATTGTCCGTGCATAAGCAAAAGCAACATCACTGTACATTACGAAACAGGCATTTACAACGATCGCTGTGGCATCAGGTGCGCGCTGACGGTCGGGTGCCAAGGAGGCGACTGGCTTCTTCGAGCGCGAAGAGCGACCGGAGACGCTTGTGCACGAGCTCGAGGTATTGCGAGTTGCTTTGACAGTCGAGCGAGCAAAAGGTGAGGACGCAGACGCTGGTGGCGTTGAGGTACTTCTTGCCGCAGTTCTTACACTGACTGCGGCGGGCGACGATCGAGACGCCGGTCGCAGCGCGGCGCATGCTGCTGCTTCCTCGCAAAAAGTGAGATTGAGATCAATGCGCCATATCGAAGGGCGACCGGGGTTCGAAATAATTTAATACAAAGGTGCAAAGCTGCATAGACAATGCAAGTGTAGCTTCTCCAAAATGTATTCTAGCACGAAGCGATAGATACTTTTCTTTCTTTTTCGCGGCAAGAAACCGCGTTCGAATTTATGGGACCACGCACGCGCCTAGTTGAAGACACCGCGTTCGGCGCGTAGCCGCTGGACAAGACTGTACAGCGGCTTGTTGGCCTCGAGCCGCACCAAGTGGGCTTCGTGCGACGCGACCATGTCGCTGAACCCGTCTTCGGCGAGGCCCATGCACTGCGTGAGCGACTCGAGGTACTCCTCCGCGTACACGCCCCGTGAGAGTAGCCGCTGGACGGGCGACTTGGCGAGCTTGCGCACAAAGGCCTCCCAGCCCGTCGTTAAGTCGGACGCGGTCAGACTGAGCTGTGCGTCCTGTGGCGTGTTGACAACGGTGCTGTCAAGCCAAATTGTAAGGCAGTGACGGGGTTCGGCGGCCGGCAGCACGCGATGCAGGAGACTGTCGGACGAAAAGATGACCTACAAGAGTGTTAGTCGTCGAATCGAACAGCGAAATCAGCACGGACGAGGCGATCCATGCGAGGCGCGAGCGTCACCGGCTCGGGCGCCAGGAACGGATAGAACTGGATCTCGCCACCATCGCCGTCTTTCCAGTCAGGGTTGAGATACAGAAGGCAGGTCAGCTTGCGCTTATTGGGGCGGCCTGGGTTGTCGTAGTGGCACGGGAAGCACCCGCCGTTGCCAGCGTTGAACTGGACCTTGAGTGTCTTGCCTTGCGTTCCAGGCACGAGGCCGAGCTGCGCATGGTCCTCCAACGCAAGGCAGAGGTCGTCCGAGTGGAAAAGCGCGTCAAGCTCGGGCACTTGCGTGCGCACGCTCGCGTTGTGCAAGTCGGCTTCGTAGATGTTGGGCTTGGCAAATTGGGCGACCGAGCCGTCGGCGCGCGGAAACTGCGTCTTGTTGGGCGAGAGGAGCTTGCGCTCTTGCAGCCATTTGACTTCGGAGAGGATCGCGTCGGCCCAGTCGCGTCCGAGAAAGTTGTCGACGACAACGAACCCGTTCGAAAGCAGCTCGTCACATATACCTGGCGTGATCTTGTCCGAGAAGGACGCAAAGTTGCGCACGAACGGCCGAGGATACTCGATGGCGTCTGTCTCGTGCTTGCGGCAGGCCGCCTTGTGGCCTCGCTTCCAGTCGGTCACTTGGCACGCGCGGCTGCAGTAGTACACTCGGAGACACTGGCTGCAGCGCAGGAGGTCGTCCGCGTCGCTGCCGCAGCAGCTGCAACGACTTGCCATCGCCGCCAACAAATTTGAGCAGCGAAAAAACGCGCGTGTAACGTGTGTAAAACACACACGTTTTACACGTCGGTGCGGCAGCGAAAAACACGTGAAAATCACGTGCAAATCACGGCGACATAAACGGCGCAATGCCGGATACGGCAACCGGCTGCGTCGCGAAAGCAAAGCAGCTTTCTGCCGGCACATCACTGGCGCAGTAGCATCGCAGCCCACCATCAGAATGGAATAGCAAAGTGGCGAGCTCGTTGCAGTGCAAAGCTTGCACATCCTCAGCGTTGCCACATGCGCAGACGCGGTGACCAGGTTGATGCTGCGCCCAGGTGGATTGTGGTACGGGTCACGGTCGTCTTTCCACATGTCGTTCAATCCATTCGGTGCTTTGCAAGAAGTTCTGGGCCAATTCGGTGCTTTGCCTGGCGACGCACCAACGTGCTTTGCATGTTCGGACAAGGAAGAGCCGTTAATTGATGTATTCTGATGTGCAAAGTTGATTTCTGAAGTTGCGCCAGCAGCATAACCTCACTCTAGAGTGGTAGCGATGTAAACCGGCGTGCACTGCCAGTGCTACGTGCGGGTTCGCATGCACAGAGAAGGTGCTGCCAACGCTCTGACGCAACCGGAATCCTCCCATCGGTCGGTACACTATGCCCTGCAAGACCGTCGCATTTCGGTGCTTCGTGGAGACGACGGACGCTGTTGGAGATTCGACGCTATGGGAACAGAGAGGAGCTGCGAAAAACAATGTTTGGCACTGCGGTGCCCCATCCACATCGTGGCCAGCACGGCGTCGCAGCCGCTGCGTGGCACGCTGCTGCTGTCCCAGCGCGGACGCTCATTGGCTCAGCACGGCCAATCAGAGAAGAGTGGGAGCTTCCCATCGCACTCGGAGTGCGATGGGTCGAACTTCAGAAATGCAAAGCAAACTCACATTTCCCATTTTGCCCTTCGTTGACAAGCATGCGAGAGACGCGCCAGTCCTTCATGCACGCGATCCAGTCCATGTCCAAGGACCCGCTCGACACGCACGTGCACGCCAAGTGCGCGCGCTTCGCGACGTCCGCGGCCAAGTCGCTCGCGACCGATGCGACCAAGTTCAAGTTCAAGGCGTCGAGCCACGGCATTGAGATTTACGAAAGCGTGTCGCGGCCGTACCGCGTCAAGGCCGTTGCGCTCGTGCCCGGCGACCTCGAAGATATTATGTTTGCGCTCGGGAAGCAAGGCGCCAAGGCCCATGAGTTCCGGAAGACCATGTTCCATCTCTTCCAAGAGTCCTTCTCGGAAGGTGTGAGCCTCCACGCGCCCGGCCGCGGCCTCGACCAGCAGCACGTCAATCTCAACTGGCTCGCGCTCGCAGACGCGAGCTTGCGCTACGATATGACCTACATGACCGCGACGTCGCGCTTCTTGCGCCGCAGCACGGGGCTTGCCAACGCCGGGTCGTGCCCCGCCGACGTCGGTGTCCAAATCTGGCAGTCGGTCGAGATTCCCGAGCTCACGACGTTCACAGAGCGCGACACTGGCTGCACACGCCTGCGCCTCGAGACGTCGGGCTTTGTTGTCGAGCGCACCTCGACGCCGCAGACGAGCCAGGTCGCGTTCCACCTGAGCTTTGGCGGCGCATCTGTCTCTACTTCGTGGATGCAGCTCCTCGCCGAGCGCCTTGCGAGCATCGCGTCTGTCTTTACGCGCCCTGGCAGCCTCCAGCTCGTGCCTCGGTCGATCTGGACCTTCAACGCCTACTGCTACTCGTGCTTCAAGTCCTTTGGCACGTTCCGGCGGCGCCACCACTGCCGCCTCTGCGGCAACTCGATCTGCTCCAAGTGTTCTGTCTCGGTCGAAATCACATTCCCAGGCTCGCCGACCGCCAGCCACTACGACTCGACGTCTGTTCCGTGCTGCCACAAGTGCGCCGACACCAACTCGCAGCTGGACCAGCACCTCATGGAGCTCGCGCGGCCGTCGCGCGTCTCAAGCGGCACCAAGCCATCGTCGCCGCCGCCGATGCCGTCGACAATGTCGATGACGACAACGGCCGTGTCCCCGATCCACCTCTCGCTGCGCGACATTTCGAGCCTCTTTGCACCGGAAGCGACTGACGCGCCAGTCTCACCGACGGAGCGCGTCGATGACGACGTCGAGTCGCCTGCCGAATCGTCCTTCTTCCGTATTTCCAAGGGCAGCTGCATGCGCGTCCGAACACAGAGCGCGCAGTCGACGGCGCCATCGAGCCAGCGCAGCTCCCGGAGCACGCTCACCGAGTCGGACATTGAAGCCAGCCTCGAGCTGCTCAACGACGACTTTGACAAAATCCACATGGAGCGCCTCGAGGCCGCCAAGCGCCGCCTCAACCTCGACGCCGCGAAAGAGAAGCGGCCCCTCGTCTACCTCTACTAGACCATTTCTGTCCCGTTCGTGTAGCTTGTCAATCACATCTTATTTATCCTCCACGTCCTTGGTGGTTCTCCCAGAGCTATGAGTGCAAACAGCGTCGGTTCCGATTACGAAGTCGCAAACGAACTTGCGCATACGGTTACTGCGGCGCATGAAGGTGTGCGAGGAGCTTCTCGTTCTTCTCGCATTCGCGCTGAAAGTCTCGAATGGCAGCCAAGTACGCCTGTTGCTTGCCCAGCAGCTAATCAAAGCATCAGTCTCGCGATACGTCCGCCAAACACACACCAGCTGATACTTGCTGTCGAGTGTGTCGACCGTGAGCTGCTTGGCGTCACATTGCACCTGCTGCTTGGCGACGTTGGCGCGCACGTTGCCAATGACGGCGGTCATCTGGCTGAAGAAGATGTCGGTTGCCGCCTTGGACTTGAGCGCAATCTCAAAGTTGGCGTTGATGCTCTCGACCAGCGCGACTTCCTTCTCGAGGTACTCATGCGTCGCCTCGAGGGTGTTGTACACCGAGTAGTACTTGCGGGTCTCTTCCAGCGTCAGCGCCACCTACACAGCTGTTCTTAGAGTCGATCGAGATCGTGGACCGACCTCTTCGTAGAGCTCCATGAACCGCTTCTCGTACTGCAGCAGCTCGGCCTTGCAGGGAATGTCGTCAAGGAGCCGCAGCGCAGCAACGACGGCCCGCGCCTCCTTTCCAACCTCTTGTTTGAGCGCTGTGCGCTACGTAGCAATACATTGAAATCAAAATGCCTCCACCAAGAGTTCACCTTGGCAGCGAGAACAGATAGCTTGGCCTCGAGGCGCGCACGGCGAACATCGGTCTCAAAGCCTGGCAGCGCGTCCACTCGCGCCTGTGGCGCGCATTGCAGTCAAGGAACGCCGTGCGCACACAGCATACCTGAAGGTCCGTGAGCTCTTGCTTGCAGGCCGCCTTGAAGGTCGCCTCTTGGAGCTTTAAACTCGTGTGCAAGGAAATGAGCTCCTACAATGCTCTGTCGATCCAAGTTTGCAGCGGTGGTGTTGAGCGTACGCGCAATTTTGCCAAGTCGGAGCTTGTTTCATTGCTGGCGTCTTCGGCTGCCGCGATCGCTGCCTCGCGAGCTTTAAGCTCAGCGCGCGTCTCGTCCAGCGTCGCACACGCCATTTGCGCGACAGGGGCGGCGTCGACGAGGCGCGCATGGGTCGCTTGCAGCTGCGCCACGAGCGTTGCCTTGGACCATACGTCGTATCGCTGCCTCGTGCACAAGAAAAAGCGTACTTGTGCGTCGAACTTGGTCGTCAGGCGCTGCGCCTTGCGCTCGAGTCGCTGCGTCTCCGCGACGAGACTCAGTGCTGCCGCTTCTTCGGGGCAGCTGCGGCTCCGAATGTCCTCGGACGTCGTATCGTATAGCGCGACGGCCGCGTCAACCGCCTACGATCAGAAGTTGATGCCGAACTCAGCGCGACAAGGGTTACGAGCTACCTCGAGGTCCGCGACGCCAGTGTGACGCCATGAACGTTCCTACGGGCTCATGGCGCTTGTGTTCGAGGTATCACTTTGGTACCTGCGCTACAGTGGCAACGCGAAGCAACTCTTCCTCGCGCACCATGTCTTCTTGCAATGCTAGCTCTTCGGCGGCCAACGCCTCGGACGCAGCAGTCTGGTACTGTCGGTCAAACTCTGTGAGAGGTGTCGCCACGGAGCTGGACGCCAACCGACTATGGCAACGACTGCGTGAGCAGAGCGCAGATATTGTGGCGTCAAACCGCAGCTGCGCTGCCATTGCCTGCTTGGCAATGTCGTGGAGAAATCCCTTGGGCTCGTCCGTGGACGGACTGGGATGCGCGATGCGCACGACGCGCGCCGTCGTCTTCTCGCCGTACTCGAGAAGGCAACGCTGGATGCGCTCTTGCTCCGAAAGAGACTTTCCCGGCGCCTACGACACGGTCAGAGTCGTGGGCCATCTGGCTCGAGATGCGAACATGAAACTTGGACCGGCGGGAAACCGCGTACGTTGGGGCCCGAGGACGAACGACGGGCGATGGTGCAGAGACCGTGCGCCACTGAGCCTCAATCGCGCTCGCAACGCGTGTGTTGAGCTTGAGCTGTGTGTGCTGAACGAGCCACGCGACGACTTGGCGTAGCTTTTCGTAGTTGGCCCCTTGCAGCTCGTGGACGCTCAAGTTGAGCGTCGTCTTGGAGTTGGTGGCTTGTGTGTACGACTGCAGCGCGGTGTTGAAGCTGTCACAGATGGCCTCTGCAACGCGAACACGCTCTTTGACGCTCGCGACGGGGCGGAAGAGGATGTCGCAGTCGACGCTCGTCAGTTCTTCCGACTGGAGGCAGAAGACGAGGCCGCCCACGACGCGCTCAAAGATCGGGATCTCGGCCACGGACGCGCGGGGGTACCCATGCGCCACCAGCATGGCTACGCATTCCTGCGCGAGCTTGGCCTTCTCCGCGTCCTCGGCGCTCGGCCCTGCGTCCAACTGGTTTGCCATCGTATCCAAAGCGAAGATTTCGTTGTCCGGTTAACAAGCTCAGGAAATCCGGATAGAATCTCGCCACCGGAGATCGTGGCACTTGCTGGCGAGAGCGGAGGAGTTGCGCATCAGATAACGAAGCAAGCATTTGACCATTGACGCCCGAGGGCATGGAGCTGGTTCCAGCCACGTGGCACCTCTACCCACCCATGGGACTACTCGTTCAGACGCCAGCGCCGCTCAAGGCGGACCTCTGCGCGCCACCAGCGTCATCCAAGTGGCGTCAGCATCCCGTGTCGACGGCCATTTTTGTCGTCTCTTGCTTGGCGACCGTGGTAGTACTTCTCGACTTGGTCATCGCTGGCAACTCGCCCACGACACAGCCAGCCTCGGTGACGATTGCTGCAAACACAACGGCGACGACACCCACCGCAGCTCTTCGCCTGGACGACGCTGCGTCAAGTACCGGTGACCCGCCAAGCACTCAGCTGCGAGAAATGCTCGCGCTTCTTCTTCTTATTCTCGTTGGCGCTGGTGCGTACTTGATGCAACGCCGAGCCCAGTCTACCACGCCCACGGAGATCAAGATTTGTGGCCAAGAGGGGCCAAAGCCCGTGTGCCTCACGGTCGTGCCGGCGCCCTTGTAAAATATATTCGTTGTTGACGTGCAAGATTGAGTATTGCGCATACGTTAAAGGCCTTGCCCGTCGACCCCGCTCGCAACGCTGACGGGTCCAGAGAGGCGACAACGGCCGGAGCCCGCGCTGAGCTCCGAGGACCGCGTTCGCTGCACTCGTTGCTCGATCTCAGTGAGAACCGACGTTGCTGCCGCATCGAGCTCGGTCGATCGCGGCACCTCTGTCCGGTAGATGTGCAAATCAAAGAACTCTCGCCACGCCACGTCATCTACGCAACCCTTGCTTCCTAACCGACACAATGGATGCTGGACCTTGGTCGGAAAAGACGGGAACGAGAAGAGACTCGTCGTCGGGGCCGCAGATTCGCGCGCCTACACCTTGCCTATGAGCTTGAATGCATCCATGCGCGTCCAGAGACTCGTAGGTGTCTTCAGCGACGTCGTGTCTGAGAGCGGAATGATCTTGATCTTGTCTACGTCCATAGAATGTAATGTGTGTCCAAGCTGTCATGTGTACCGCTAGATGTATCCGGTCGTGATAGAGGACTCGCGCCTACGTTGCACCATGAGACCTCGATATTTCGGCTTGCTTCTTGCACCGCTAGCGTCGACAACGGGCGCAATGCGGTGCGACGCGGAGGACACCTTGATGCTCTCTGGCACATAGCGTTGCCGCTGCAATACGACCCAGAGCATGGACGCGGCGCCCACCACGGCCAGTACGATAGCGAAATATACCCAATCCAGGGGTAGCACCATAGAGTCGAGCCATGGGAGCAGATGGGTGTCGTCGCTCTGTGTGGCGTTTCCGTGGCTCGTGTTGGCATAGCCCAGAACAAATTCACCTACGGCGAGCTCGCGTTTTGATTCAACCTGCAATGCGAGTGTACCAATGACGGGCGGGTGCACATCGCGCCGGATCGTGAGCTGGAACGGGTACAGGACGTAGAAGCCCGATGCGCAGTTCACGAGCTGGAGCGTGTAGGTGTTCATCGCCAAGTCCAGGTCGCTCAAGAAGGTGAACCAATCGAGCTACAAGTGCGCGAACTCTGAGATGACCTGCACCAAACGGACGCAAGCGTACGCGTTCAACAACGTCCGTTGTCGCACCGCTAAAGCCTATCGCTGTAATGCGCAGCGCGCAGGGAACGCTCGTGGTCTCATCACCGACGGCCGTGCAGCCATCTCCACAGGACGTCGCGGTCGTCGTCGAGTCGAGCTGCTGCCGGGCGTCTGCGGTGGCCTTGACGATGATCGCGATCGTCGAGGCCATGGCGGTTTTGGGATTCCGCACCTAAACGAGGCGAACTTGACGAGGACAAGATCGCGAGTAGGGTTCCGAGGAGATGGGTTTTGGCGCCAAATCTTGGTCGCTTGATATTTTGGCCACTACCGTACTCTGCTTGAGCACATTTCGGAGAACGATCACAGAACAGTGCAGCATGCCACAGTTTCAAATTGTAAAGGTGCATTTGGCCTCACCACAAAGTAACACGAAAAAGACGTTGAACGTGGTTTTCTACGACACGGAGAACCACGCTTATGTGTTGCTTCCTACTGGCATAGGAGGCTCAAAGCACAGCAACACTATCGCGCTGCCACATGGATCGACCGTCCGCTGTGTCGCGGTGACCGTCGGCGAAAAAGTCGACGTCCTTGTCTTCTTCAAGCTTGCGCCGGTTGCGAAGAACGACGAGTGCAACCGCAGCGACGCCGACGGCGCAGACCAAGCTCGTCACCACGGGCAGCGTTACGTTGTCGGGCGAATCGCTGGACGATGTTGTCACTTCTTGGACGTTGGCGATAGGCGCCGTCGTGGCTGGCGCAGCACCCGTAGCTGCGACGGATTCATCGAGTACGGGCAATGTGACCGGAACCGTCACATCAATGACGCTTTCCAACGTGTCGTTGGCCGACGTAGGTACGGGCGTTGTAGTGTTGTGCTCGGCTGTAGCGTTGGTCGGTGCTGGCGTCGTTTCGGCGGTTGTCGGCGCCGGAGTCGTCGTCGCCGGTACAGTCGTAGTCGGTGCTGGAGTCGGCGCTGGCGTCGGGGCCGGGGTCGTCACTGCAGGCGCGACGTTGAACTTCCAGGTGAACCCATCGGCCGAGATACCAAAGTGACCTTCGTCGCCACCCTTGTTGGTCGCATCGTGGAACTGAAAGTAAAATGGCGACGGCCCGCCGTTCGAGTTGGTCCAAGTCTGGTACTGATTCCAGTAGTTTTGCGCAGCACCAAAGTTGGCGCGACCACCGCCGTCGGACGGGTGGCCAGTCTCTGTGAGGCGCGCCTTCCCGCCGTACTTGGCGACGATGGCGTTGAAGCGCTTCGTGAGGTCCGCGATCGAGTCGCTCGGAACGGACGGGTTGAAGTACGGATAAATGTTGACGCCGACGACGTCACAGTTGGCGCCGAGCGAGCCGTCGGCATCGAGCCACGACCCATCAGTCTGCACGGTCCCGATCGGGATGTGGCCGAGACCCGCAGCCTTGAATGCTGCGCGCGTCGTCTGAATTTTGGAGATGACGTCGCCGATACCAAGGCCGGAGACGAGGTCTTCGTTGCCGACGTAGACCGCGAGGACGTTGCCCGGGTGGCGTTTGGTGCCGTCGACAGCAGCCTGGAGGTCGTCGGCGAATGGCACACCACCGCGGATCCAGATGCCCGCGGCGATTTGGAGGTTGGCTTTGGCAGCCGCGTCAATGAGGTTGACCTTGCCTTCGACAGTCGTTTGGTACGTGCGCACGGAGCCAAACTTGGACTTGATAACGGCAAAGTGCTTGTCCACGCTCGAGACGGCTTGATACGAGTCGTAGCAGACACCGTTGAGGCCGCCCGCGCCCGTGCGCGCAGCTTCGGTCGTCGTGTCGGTGCCGAGCCCGACAAGCGCCAAAGCGACGGCGCCGACAGCGGCAAAAGCCGACACGAGGATCGCGATTTTCTTCTTGGGCGAGAGCGTCCACTTGGATACGACGGGCCCGGCCGTCGTGGGTGTGTTGAGAGCCTCCATGGGACCAGAGACGTCGCGTTCACAAATGACACGCTCCATGTTGCAGGTACTACAGTAAAGGAGGCTTCTTTTGCACACTGTACCTACTCACCGCCTGTCTGCAATCGTCCGTCGCAAGCGCTTTCATTGGCACGGGATATGCGTAATGCCATTCGTCACGCACATTGCGCCTTAAGAAAGCCAAGTTGCTTTTCGCTACCTTGCGCAATGTATGGGAAGTAAAAGTATACACAGGTGTCGGTCACGCCGCAACAGCAACCAGCTGCAGCAGAAACACACACGGGCCGTCTTTGCCACTTCAAGCGTTCGGGCGCGTTCTCTTTGCGCTGCTGGGACTGTCGCTCGGGCAGCGTTCGATACCTAACGCTTGGAATGTGAGCCAACATTTCAACCTGGCAGGGTTTATAAACAGTTCACAGACCCTTGGTGTCGGTCACCAAAGCATTTTGTAGGTTTCCCTGTCGACGGATATACATGCAAGCATCTCACCAGCATGCCGGCAACACTCGCAGAGCGCTTCTTCGGTTGACAGTGTTAACCGATCACGAAATCTGCGTCGCTTTGGGCAATTATTCAGCACCTCCGTCCTGCTCGTTTGTCAACAATTTCTGTTCTCGACCAAACCGAGTGACTGCTTTGGATGGAGTGCAGCCCAAAGAATGAGAGGTGTCACCGAAGAAGCGGAGTGCTGAACCAGAGCGAGAGCTGGCCGGCGGTTACATGCAGACGAGCAAGAGTTCAAGCTTTTCAAAGTTGAAGCCTAGCCAGGCAAGCGGGGACATTTCACGGCAAAGTCGCGCATCGGTCCTGGTAGCAGTGCCTGTGAGCGACAAGTGACCAGAGCGTGTGGAAAGTGCATCATAATGGGTCACCGTAACGTTATCCGGTTTTGAATTGCACGACTGGCTTACGCTCCGCTCCTGATTGTTGGACGCCATTGACATTCTTGATGACTGCAGCTCGAGTCGTACAACATCGGTAGCGTCTACAACGACCACACTATGAAAAGAGGCGCCAACGTCTAAGAGCATGGGGCATTTTTCGTAGATAAATTTCGCAGGCATGCCATCCCAATCAACTGCGCACGTCATTTTTGCCTGGCCGGCTCAGAGTCCACGTAAACTCGACAACTCCCTTGTCGTCTTATCAGTTGCGCCACCAGAGCATACATGATCTGTGTACGTTATACTAGTATGGAGCAGAATCGTGCCATTTCCAAGAAGTTGAAGAGGTTTTCCGCGCAAGGCCGAGCGTTCCAGAAGACCAAGACATGAAAGCACGCACACGTTACAAGATCCAGGTGCCGAGCAAGCGAGCTCGAGCCATCCACGAATTTATAGTATCAGTCAAAAGCTAACCCGCCTCGACCACCTCTGGCATGGCGGACACCAACACGGTTGTTGCCCCCAAGTAAGCTCGGTCTTGCTAGTGGAAACGACTATTGTCGGTGACGGTGCATCCGAACCGGTATGCATTGATACCGTTCTACCTCCCTACTACAGACATATTCTGCGTTAATTGATAAAAGATCTGAAAAGCGTGGGATTTTACCCATGTGTTGGGCATTTTAGAGAAATGCCAGCCGTACGATAGGCCCTGGAACGACATGTGGCGTTGGTAATCCTACTTGGTATATCTATGTGAATACTGAATGCAAGATAATAAGTTCTGCTTGTAACACAACTCACATTTTGTATTGACATACTGAACACGGGCTTATTCTTGTCAATTAACGCGGTTGTCAATTAACGCAGAGGATGTCTGTACTCATTTCTGATATCGGAACCGTGAAATACTACCGGTAGATAGACAGATAGATAGATAGATAGATAGATAGATAGATAGATAGATAGATAGATAGATAGATAGATAGATAGATAGATAGATAGATAGATAGATAGA